TCTTATGGCTAAGAAGAGGAGCCATGAATTGTTGAAATGGTTAAATCAAGAAGATGAGTCATACTTCGTTCCAAAACAATTCTTAGAGTCATACTCCAAGATTGTAACTTGAGTGACATATCTTAAAGAAAGTTTATAACACAAGTCAAATGTAGAGTAAAATGCTTTATACTCTTGGACATTTGAAATTGGTAAGTTGTGATGTTTTGGATAAAACAAAGACCAACTAAGGCCAATTGTGTGAAGTGTTTGTCTTGATAAGAATCCACACTATCTCTTGAATATTTGTTTGTCAAGCAATGGGTCTTGGCAAGAGAGTCTTATATGTCAAGAGGACAGTGGGAGTCTAAAGATCTTGAAATAGCTTCAAGATCTAATCAAGAATAAAAACTTGTAGTTTAGCACTAGCACACGACTTGAGGTTTATAACCTATCGTGTTGACATATTCCATTTCTATGCCCATTCCAGTTAAAGTTGGCTTTGCATATGAGTTCTGAGTGTTCTGAGTTGGTTGCATAACAACTTGGAAGCAATGGCAGGCCCTTGTGCTGCCAGGTGGCAAGAAGTTAAGACTGCACAGGTTCAATCCATATGAGTTTGGATTTGTCACTAACCTTGTCTTGTGATTATGGTTTTGAAAATTCACATGGATACGGTCTAAACAATTGAGACTATGATTACGACATCCCTTTTCATAGTTCTAAAATTGTTTAGACACACATGTGAGCTATCTAAGTAAAAGGTGTATGATTTTGATAAAGTTTTATCAAAGCATCTCGTATCAGAAATCTAAACTTTGGTATGAAAGTCAATAAAGTATTGATTTTTAGAAGTCCAACTGATTTCTGAGTACATGTCAAAGCTAGTGGGAGCATAAGTGTTATGCTAATAATCATCGTGCAAGTGGGAGTATGATAATTATAATAAGTGTTGCAAGTTGGCAATGTTAATTATAGAAAACAAAAAGTTTCAATTGGGAAAAAGTTGTTTTGCTATAATTAAGGGAGATGAAATTATACTTCATTTCAATTCTAAAAGCTTAGATCGTGAGATTTTAATCAAATTTAGTCAAGTATATATATGAATGTTAGGTTGGAATGGTTCAACATAAGGAAAGTCTATATATGGGTCCTTTATTTGCATTCTAAAATTCGATTATGATTACGACATCCCTTTTCATAATCTGAATTATGAGAACATGGCAAATAGAAATAGAAATATTATAGCAAAAGACTGGTCTAGTATCATGTCTTTATGTAAGACATCATGAATCGTGTCCCATATGATTCGGATATAGGGTCGATTGCATGTGCTATAATATTCATCTGGTCTAAATTTTTCCAAATGCCTAGAGCATTAAGAGGGAAAAGTACTAGAACTAGATATGACTAATTTGATTAAGCAATTGTCGAGGACAATCTAAGGATTGGTTGCTCAGGGACAATTGGAAGTATGGTGTGAATTTTTGGAGAGGACCATATTGACATATTCTGAAAAGAGGCAACTCTTGTTCAGAAGTGATAGTCAAAATGAGAATATGGAAATATTCCCATAGTTGGAAGTTATTCATTAAATCTCTGTAAGATTAGGAAACTTAATGTAAGAAGGATGTTCAAAGCAATGTACTTTGAATTTGAGACTTCGTTTCCATGGAATGATCTCCATTGGAATACTCTGTAATGACTGTTGACAAGTCTTTGTAACTTTGTGCATAATCATTATAAGAGGATCAGTACATATAAGTTTAAAATCTACAAGATTTCGGTAAATGGCAGGAATTTGGAAATTCTTGCATTTGCGGTAAGGATTTGGGATTGTGAAATGAGAATCATTGGAATTATGTTCAATCGATCTGTTTCACAAAGTGAAAGATCATAGACAAACTTAGTGTGCATACTTGTGTATGGCATACTAATGTTTGAAAAACATAGTGTGCATACTTGGTGTATGCATGACTAGTGTTTAGAAAACATAGTGTACATGCTTGGAGCATGGGACCACTATTGTTTTAATTCAAGTATAAAGTTGATAGTTTGAAACAGTATGCAATGAATAATGTGTAATCAATATGGTGATAATAAAAGGTGTTCTATTTATATTCATAAGTTCTGAGACCATATTGGATTCGATTATTCTTGTGCTTCACATTGCATGTTTTGACTTCCAGAATAACTAGGTCGCTCTTCCTAAATGACTAAGTTATTCAAACCATCCACAGTCGATAATAAGTTGGAAGTAGGTATTAAGGCAAGACTGTCATGAAGCTGGTTTGTAGATGTCCAAGGTAGTGGACATAGCAAGAGTTGCTACAACATTATTAGTGCTCATAAGTTCTGAGTATTGGATTAACCCCACGCTCATTGACTCCACTTCATGGATTTATCACGAGTGATCATGAGACGATAATATCTTCTATTCTTCAAACATAGAGATATGAGTTGATTTGCCCTATGAGTTGGTTTATACATTTGCTTGATAGTACGAAAACGCATTGGTAACTCGATGTTATAAAACGTGCCTTGTGTATGATTCAACAAGTAGTAGAACAAGCAATGAGTCGAAGTTTATCCATTTCTTTTACCCTTGAAGGGATAAAAGCCATATCTGTGGGCCCCTCGATGATTTAGTGATGACACCCCGAAGTGCTTGGCCAAGCTAGGACTTGTTTGATTTATTCAATTAGTCGGTCGTCATAAATCGGAAATCGGGAAACAACAAATGGACAGAGAGAAGATGATTATAATCCATGTCTCGGTCCATATGATATCTAGAGTGGAGGAATATATGATCCCTTATCTAATGGACAAGTCATTGACTAAGGTCAGAGTTCGACAACGGACTTTAAGAGCTACGATTGCTAGTCAGGTTTTTGAAGTATACACAATAATGTTTTAGACTTATCCAAGTGGGAAGACTATTGGTTAGTGTCTAAGCCCCACATAACTTACTTGGTTATGTATTGACCTGATTTGGCCTAGTCCATTTGGGTTGCATTTTCACCGGAAAAAAATTTATATGGATATTAGTTGTCTTTTGCTGAATAATATGTTTATGATTTATATTCATATATTATAAGTTCTAATATATTAATTGGAATCATATTATTTAATAGTATTGATCAAGACATTATTTTAGAATTAATTTAGTGATCAAAAGGAACCTAATTAAAATATGGACTCTTATTTATATAGTATGGGCTAAAGTTCATTTTTAGGGGTTTGGGCTAAGCTTGCATGGAATATAGTCCATGTAGTTTAACCCATGGATCCTAAGAAATGACACGGGCATGGGTATTGGGTTTACATGGATGCAACCCTAATCCTCCATACCTATCTAAAGAGTTCTTTGGCACACAGAACTTGCACTAGTCTGTGAGGATACAACGAGTGGGCCAATTTTCTCGTATGCTTACTATCTCTCCAATTTTTCCAAAACTGTTGTTGTGGTGGGTGGTTTGGTGGTATTTTGTGATTCCACTTTGAGGCTTTCCAACTATTGGTGGGCTAAGATATTAAAGATCAAGACTTTGGCTTCATCAAAGGTATCTTATAACTTGTTTATTACCCAAGTATCAAAGATTGTATGACTAGTTAGGGGTATACCTTGGAAAGTTCAAGTTTGCATGTATAATAAAGAAAACATAGATCCAAGGTATTTAGGGATGCATGTACACCATAGGAGTGTTAGAATGCTTATAACCCATCAGCATTATCATCCACATAAGGGAAATCCTTATCGAGGACATACTCTTTGCCCTCGTACCTCAAGGAAATCGTTAGGTTACGAATCCACTACAAATAATTTTGACTGGTGAGTTTCCTTTTATGTAGGATCAAGATAAGGAAGAAGTTCGAGTTTGGGGTGGGAGGAGGAGGATTTTTGTTCTCGTTCGACATCTATAAGATGAAAAGAAATTTAGTTACTTTGAATTGTTGTCCTTAAAATAGTTTTTAACCCTAAATGAATTATTAACAAGGCTAGATCCATATTTTGCTTTGTGATGTGTAAAGAAATGTAGTAAACACATAGCAAAGTTATTTAGGTAGGCAAAGCAACTTGCCAGTTTCAAACTTTTGAAACTTCTAGATCATTTGAGATTCATTGGCATTCAATGGAATGTTAATCTCAATTGCGCTCATATCAACTTTAATGATGGGGATACCGCAAACCATTAAATAGATGGTGAATTAACAATGCAAAACCGCTTGATCCTTGATATAAAATTATTCTCATATTGACGCATCGGTTAACCACACACGCTCCATCAACAGAATAATTTCACGAGTGACTCTTCATTTTATACTTATATTCTTGCAAATGACGTTACTTATATTCTGGCAAATGACGTGTCGGTTAACCACTCCATCATCAAAATATAATTAAAATGTGCGTTTTCATGGGTAGCACAAAACTCACATTTTTTATTTATATATAAAACAAGAATTTTGTTTTGTTACTTGATTAATACTTTTAATCTTGAAAGACAAAATCCAACCGAAGCATTTCGATAACTCTACTCTTAAAATACAAAATGAGGTATAGGTGGTAAGCGCAAAACATTTTGAAAACCGACCTTGTTAGGAATCAAAGAAACATCCTAAAACCAATATTAGAGTGGGTGAACCTAGTCTTGACGACAATGTCTTTTATTAACATGTGAGGACACATGTGATATAATCGTTTTACGTATAGTAAATAACACTATATAATAAATTTAAACTTTTAAATTTATAATATTGTCTTTCTAATTTAATTCTATTATTAAATAAAGTTCAAGGAAAATATTCAAAATTTAATTCAAGTTTAAATAATATTCAGATTTAATTGATTAATATTCATATTTAATTTCAATTAAATAATATTCCAAGTTAATTATCAAATTCGAATATTCATATTCAAACAATTAAATATCAAAATCATTTCTAATTAATTTATTAATTCCTTAATAAATTAACACATTATTAATCTCATTTTTTCTTATCCTATTTGCGTCACGAGGCAATCAAAATGACCCTGCTATTATTAGAAATATTACAAAAACAGCTAATGACATTTGAAACCATTTCCAACAGAAGAAAATGCAAGAAAGACATCTAGCACAATTGGTTAAGTTGCTTGTCTTGTAAGAGGGAGGTCACGGGTTCGAGTCCACCCTCCTCCTTTTTTCTTCTAAAAAGTTATTATTTTTTAAATAAGAAATGACGTTGACATGGCATATCACGTGAGCTGGCACATCAACGACTTTTCCACCTTGGCGCAACAGGATACCTGCTAAAAAGGTAAAAAAATGGATTAAACTAAAAATGTTAGCCAGTTTTCAAGACTTTTATCATAAAAAAATATTAATTTGAAGCATTGAAGCATTTCAGTTAAGCGGATGAGTTTGTTGAGTTTAACCATTGGAGAATAATAGGCCACCCATGAGTAGGAGTTAATTTGGAGTTATTTTGGTTTTTGATCATAGTATTTTGTGAGTTCACCGATCTTTCACAACATATGTGAGAAGCGTAAGTATGAAACAAAAAGCAATAAGAAGGGTAGGAAACCTACCGTAGCACGATGTGATCAAGGAGATCATCGCTGACTCGGATTAACCGCCTGCTCAATCAGGAACTTGAGATAATAACTTCTCTCACTTATATTCCAAATATCTACGATGTTGTGAATATCGATCACCTTCCACATCGTCAGAACCATACAAATCCTCCGCCAACTTGTGCATACTTTCTGTGCGCTGTTGAGTATTTCTTCAACACACAAGAGACGTAGAAACTTCAGTTCTCTTCGCATCCAAATGTATTTTATCTGCAAAAACATTTTATTTTTAGTTAAGTTTCTAAAAATTTATCTGTTAGAGATAAACAAAATCGCACTTACCTCAAGATAGTCCTCTATTCCATATTTGGAACTTTCACATTCTAAACCTGACTTCTTAACGCCTCCACAAGGAGCCACCTGAAATGAAATTCATCCAGCCAACCAAATTCAGTCATACCCTCGTAGAAACTAATCCTTCGTTAATTACAACAATACCATATCTGGGAGGTTTGGTGGATGTTGCTTGTGTTAATATACTTGAGCCCAATTTGCAAGGATCATTGTTCCAACTTTCAAAATAGTAAATCACAAAAAAAAACAATCTTATATGTTTCTTGAATGTTCAAAAACAATTACATTTTATTAATTAACTCAAAAATAGATTAAAACAATAATTATACAAATAAAGAATATAACATGTATATAGACCTAGAACAATCGCCCATATACCAATACTCATCAAACATATACTCATTTATATACATTTAACACCTATATACAAATAACCCAAGGTCTTGCCATAGTTGAACATCCAAGCGATTGACACACCAATTAATTGTTAACATATCTGCTAGGAGCCTATATAAATGCCTACACCCCTTTGGCATACAACCACTAACTTCTATCCCATAAAAATCGACAGTTTCTTTGTCAAAAGCTTTCAAATTTAAGATGATTTATCAAATACCATGGTCTCATTTTGAATCTTTTTTTCAAAATTAAGAAGAAAACTACAAAAATACATTTTACCCACAAGATGTTGAAATGCATACCCACTGCCATCTGTATGAAAATGTTGAAATGCTTTGTATACATTTTATTCATTATCTAGTTTGTGTGTATACATTGTTGATGTGATGAAGTTAATGTAGTCGGTTGACCCTTTCCATCTACATTAACCCGTAACATATAAGCCAGAGCCAATATTGGATGACAATTTTAAAATGTTGAAAGTTAGAGAAAAAAACTTACAACATATATGAGTTGTCTAACTTCAGACTCAGTGAATTTTGACCTAAGTCTGGCCAAACCGTTTTTAAGTTTATCATAGGTGAGTGTGCCATTTTTGTCCATGTCCATGTTCATAAACATTCGTTTTAGCACTTGGATTTTGTCACCTGATAAATTTTCAGCGATCACCTAAACAAATTCATTAAAAAATTATGGTCATTGCAGAGTTAGGTTTAAGATATATAAGGGAATGTGAGGAAGTTGTGTTATTAACAAAACCTACAGAGGGACTTTCTTGAGTTTGTTCATAGGTTGGAATTGCTTCATTCTAGAAAGCACTACACTGTAGATTCGCTTGTCTGATTACATGGTGGTAGAGTAAGAGTAGCTTCATTTGTTTCCTTCAATTGTGATAATGTTTCCCTCTTCTTCTTCTTCTTCTTCTTCTTCTTCTTCTTCTTCTTCTTATTATTATTATTATTATTATTATTATTATTATTATTATTATTCCATCAATCAACTAAATCCCAACAAACAAAATCATAATTTTAAAAATGAAAAAAGAAATGCCAAAAAAAGATGAACTACTCAGGTTTCTTCTTCGTGTTCAAATACCCATAACCTTACAACAACGGTGGTCGTAGACTTGGGCATGACAACTCTCTCATTCACTTGACAACAACACATCAAAGCATACCACTCTTGGAAGAATTCGATTGACAAATAAATGAAAAGTATGGAAATTTTTTTGTAAAGTGATGAATAACATACCGTAACCCAAATAGGAAAAACGTTAGGGGACCTCCCCACATACCTGATGCCTTGCGTCTCTACCTGATAGATGAGAGCGTGAGATGGATTGTGAACAACATATAAAGTAAAGATTGAATGCGGTGGTCATGTTATTGGAAGAAAAAAAAACGGCGAGTCGATATAGCTATGTGCATTTTATTGGAGGCAGTGGACGGTGAGGATAAGCATGGACCAAATCTGTAATACCCACAAAATAGTGTGACAAAAACCTAAATCAGCAAAATCACTATTCATTAGGGTTTACACATTTAAACAGTTTATAATGTGCATGTATAAATACTATTTTAAATGTATAGAAATTTTAAATAATATTCAATCCGGTGCCAAAATGATGAATATAAAATTTTTAGGTTATACAAAATGTATATATAAGCTATTCACGTAGAATAGGTGAAAGTATAAAAACCCGGATAATAATATTCGAATTGAAAATAGTTGTTCCATAAATAAATTGTTAAAATTTGGTTTTGAATAATAAAAATCAATGGCGTTGATTTATTCATGATATATTGTCTAGTATCTTTCTTAAATTAGGGATATGAAATAACATTGCTTGCCGAATGTCAATTTGATATAGCCAAATGTAAGAGAATTTGAATTTAAATAAGTTTATCAAGTTTGACATAGCTTAATATTAGGGGATTTGAATTTTGAGAGTCAAACAAATAAACTTTAGAAAAGATGTCATGTGTACAACATATTATTTAACAGAGTAACAAGTGATAAATTTAGGTTTTATTTATATATATATATATATATATATATATATATATATAAAAGAGGAATTATGTGATTATTATGTGAATTATGTGTTTTATGCTTAATTATTAGGATTTAATTAATTAAGAATAAAAATAATCGTCGAAAATAAATATTAGATAAACCCAATATCTATGAAGGAAGTTGTAGTGGCCGCGACAAGGATTTCGGATATATAAAGAATACCGAAATCCGAGTTATAACGAAGAAGTTATGACCTGTCGAAGTTTCGCGACAAAACCGGCACGGCGTCGAATGACGTGAAAAGTGAGTTTTTGATAAACTACTTTTTAGCCTTTGTGATCTAAATGAAAGTCGTAGTGTTTGTTAAACCGAGAGTATGCATAAAAAGAACGCCCAAATCTGACTTCGTATGAGGAAGTTATGATTTTTCTAAGTTTCAGCTTAGCAGTAGACAGCTAAAAACTCGAATTTTAGATCGAGTGATTTTTAGCGGACATAAACTAAATGAGAATCGAAGGTCTCGTCAATAGTAGTACAACGGTAAAAAGACAGACGAAAACGGACGTCGGATGAAGAAGTTATGAATTTTTAACGGATTTTCCTGTCCCGATCTGTTAAAAATAATAATGTTAAAAATAAAGTCAAAATTAGCTGACGAAGTCAAAACGAAAGTTGTAGAGCATAACTTTCCCTACGTGTGCATATAAAGAACGTCAAAAACGGAACTCGTATGCGAAAGTTATGGATTTTAGAAGTTTTTGGCACAAAAATCGAGAATAATTGCGAAATCCGAGAAAAATCGCATGGCCTGAGTTCGGCCATGTCACCCTCGCTCCTCGTGCGACACGTATCCGATGCGAGCCACGTCAGGCGCGCCCCGTGTCCGACGTCGATGACTCAGCCAAAGACCATCCGACGCGTGTGCACCCCCGTGTCCGAAGCAACTGCGTCATCCGAGACGCTGGACCAATCCGAAGCCGACGCGTGCCCATCTCGCATCCGAGCCTCGCCCCTTCTGCCGTGTGTTCCGAACCTCGCAGCCACCTGCCCTCTTCTTCTTGCTTCGGATCCGAGGCTTGCACCTATATAAAGGGTGCGAGACCTCCCGGTTTTTGTGGGAATTTTTGCCACCTTTTCACCCCTAATTTTACATTTTTGCTATTTCAACTCCCCCGAAACCCCGAGATCATTTCCAACACCCGAAACACGTCCCGCGGTGCCCGAGAATCCCGAGAAATTTATCTTTTCGGTTTGAAGCTCCACCCTTGCAGGGCCCGATTTTCAATAAAACATCCTGGTTTTATCGAAAACGATTGTTTTAGGAAACAAAGTGCTGCCCGATTATCGTTAAATTAAGTGAATGCATATTATTTTCATCTTACACATAGATATGAAGTATTTTATATAAATTACGTGCTATGTGTGCATATTATCTGTATACTTGCTATCTATGATGGATGAACAATCTTATACATGTTTTAATTTATTTAAACTGTATATGTATTTTATATCTACAAATATGTTGGGTAAAACATGGGTAGATGAATTGGATGATGTGTGATGAAATAAAAATTGATGAGAGGTATCGATGTTTAAGATGATCTAGTCATCTAGCAGAGTATAGACAACGACCATAGACTACTCTAGATAGTCCAGTGGAACGTTAGCAGACTCGTAACCGGTAGGTATCTTTGAACTATATGTTCATAAGGTGTTCTCGAACTATATGTTCATTAGGTGTTTTTGAACTATGTGTTCATCCAATAGTTCTTCTTTTTTACACTAATAGGTGTCGGGGTACGGGAGCGTACAGGAGTACTTTATTAGTATTTTCCCTATACTTTTTATTTTGAATAGCTTTGGAGTCTTCGTTTCTTTTATAAAGTGATCGGACGAGCTTCATGTGTCAGCGTTTCCTTTCACGAAGTAAGTATGGGAAATTCGCAGACTGCCTAATGAAGTGTGTCGGTAATAGACCACTACTAGGTATGTTTGGTGTTATGATGCCGGATAGGGTGAGTCTGGAGGTAAAAATACCTCACGATATTCAGATCACTGCTAGGCAAAGTTCGATGCTGGATAGGGTGAGTCTGGGGGTAAAATACCTCACGATATTCGGACCACGGCTAGGCATTGTTATCTAAATAACTACCCCTGACTTAATTATCTTGTGGTTCTTGCTATTACAAATGAAGGTTCGTGGTGAAACTTATTCCATTCCTCTCGTTTGATGTCTTTATCGATCCTCGTTTGCTGCTAGGGAATTTCCGAAGCAGCTTCGTCAGTTGGTTGTTCATATTGATCCTTTAGGCTAGATCTTGTAAGATCACTGTATAAGATCAGTATGTGGGGATCGACGTTTGTTAGTGCTTATAGTACAAACCTCGGGCAGCGATGGACTTCGTGCCTATTCCTTAGGATAATCCTTAGGAATGAAGGATAGATGATTCTTAGGGTAGATCCTTAAATTTAAAGAAGATAATGGGGATGGGTAATTGGGTTGATTGTTTGATGATTAAATATAATAATTATTTTATTGTGGGTTGATACCCTATGTACTCACCAGGTTTCCCAACCTGACCCACTCAAGCTTATTTGTATCACAGGTGTCGATATGAAGCTACTTTACACTGAAAGATTAAAAGAGATGTAGATCACTAGTGTAAATGAATGTAAGTTCTGTTTCTGCTTATGTTTCTGTATTGACGATGACATCCCAATGGTTTAAATGAATAAAATACATTTCTTCGGAAATGATCTGATAATATACTTATCATGTTTTTATGGGAACAGATTCCGCAACATCTTTTAAAAGGATTACTCTGATTTTATTTTAAGAGCATAAATTAAATCGGTCTTTTCTGGTCGAGAAATTTGGGGATGTTACAGTTGGTATCAGAGAATTAGTTTAAGCGAACTAGGAATTTGTAGGATTTCTAGACTTAAACTTAGAATGCTAAGTGATGATCGTGAGATGAGTGTCTACCATATTTTAAGACACGAGCACTAGTATATTTTAGGAAAGATGCCTAAAATGATTTTATGTGCTAAATGTTATATGTTTGTCATATATGATATTATTTGTTCGGATCTATGGTCTGTTGCCGACCGGATCTGGAAACTGTATGTGTTCAAGATTCTAAGCGTATGACTACAATATTTGAACTAGCATGTAAACGTTTCAAAGTGATAAGGAGATTTATACGTCTATCGTAAATAAAGCTTTCCTATCTTAAATTCACGCCTGGTACACCGAACGTCTGCTTGGGTGTACAAAACGTTATGGTAAAGACTCGTAGAGAATTGAGTAAATGGAGGAAATGAAAGGTTTATGATAGTGAATGACACCTATCGGAAGATATCGTAAGAGTGGTATCTTGCCTTTAGAAGGTGTCTGATAAAATAACGGAATGTTTAAAGGAGTACGGTATGTCTGAAGTACACCTTCGATTGGCAGGATGATGGAACGATTGGTGTAATTCTTGAAGTTGTCCCATAGTCTGGAATTTCCATCACCAACTGAGTGAAGTAGAAGTAGAATTGATGATTGAAATACGCATGGAAGAAGTCCTAGTAGAGTTTAGGAAAATTTTTATGATTAATTGGACGCATTCGTATGTGTTAAATTGTTTTGTGATTTTAGGACTTGGGGACTGCGAGACAATACTTGGGACGAGTTATGAGTAGTGTGAATACTAGTAGAGATCTTACTACTGGAAGCACAGGACTCACACTGGATCAGGGAAAGTCACAAGGTTACCAAGGAACTAGTAATTGATTCTGTCTTGTTCTAGTCTGTCGTTACCATCGTTTCGGTAATGACTAAGAAGATGATTGTTATTCCGAACCTAGTGGTC